AATAAAAAATAAGCGATGAAAAACCAAACATCTTATCAATACAAAAATTATAACTATTGAAAAGTTAAAAAGAATTGCAGAATATTTTATCTTTTGTTCAAGAAATGTAGTATTAATTTTAAAAATAGAAACAATCATAATAATAACTTCTGGGTACTTCTAATGTTCGCGTAACCAAGTTGCCGCAATAAATATATTTTTAATGACAACGTTACGCTACGAACTCTTTTGAGCAACCGCTGTCGTTGAGCGTGGTTTACAATCGTAATAAACGAATTTTGCGTATCGAGTGACGTCAATGGTCTTGTGTATATAAACACTGATAAATAGATATTCGTAGATAGAGACATAAATAAATAAGCGTTTCTATTCAATTTAGAGCAAGCCTTCTAAAAATATAAACTATAGCTAGTTACGTGATAAACAAACATAAAAAAACGCGATAGTAAAATAATACGGAGATATAAATAATAAAGAATGTATCTGATTAATAGGAACAAAATATGCATATAAAAAAGAACAGGACGTACGAAATCACCGTGATACCTTGTATCAACAATAAGATCTGAAATTATATTCTTGATGAGAAACTTTTCGTTGATGTTTCATGTCCTGAAACTGCTTGTTGCCGACAGTTTTTTAGAACGGTATTCATATAATCGATTCTTATATTCAGGACCGTCTTAAGTTCAGTCTATAGAGTATCACGAACCAATCAGAGGGCTGCATTAACGTCTTAAGAAAGACATTATTTAAGACGGTCTTGAAATGAGAACCAACTATATGAATACCAGTCTTAATGTTTCTGTTGCTAGCAACAAAAGGTTGCTGCTTATTAAGTATTTTTAATAGTAAATATAAAAGAAAAGAGTGAGAAATACGCGTCAACGTGTAGAAAAGTAGAAATCCTTTAATATGGATATTTTCAATTGTTAGTAATCCAGAATAACTGCTAGATATAACTTATAATTATGTAGTTATATGTTCCCTACTAAAGCAACAATGAGAACCTTTTTGTTAATGTTCCACGTTTTCTTGAAAATGTTGGCGGTTGTTGAAAAATTTCTTGATGTTTTTAGGTTTTCTGGTTCCATTAATGTAAGATTAACTTTAATCTCGGTTCAATTACTTTTTATCTTCATCTAATTCTAAGAAGTAGAAAAAGATAAACAGTAACTTTTAAACCGAGATTAAAGTTTATCTTACCGTAATAATGGTAACAGGTTAAATATATTTTTGTTGTTAGCGTCAAAATTTGCTATTTGTTGCGTGTTTCTAATCAAAAGAAGCCTGAAATTGGAAAATATTCAGCGAGCGATAATAAATTTCTCATTGCTGCAATGGCGATTTAAACGTTTTAAGCTAATTGTAAGCGTATAGCTTAGTGCTCGTCAAGAGAAACACGTACCGAGTGGATATACCTCCGACCGACGAATTTGAAGTTTTCGTTCACGCCGCGTCACGTTTCAACAGCATTCCTCTCGAGGAACGTGAGAATGTGGATATCAATCGAAGACACACCGTCTGCATGTTCTCGTACTCATATTTTCACGGTCATCACCCCTGTTTGCCTTGCCGCTCGAAAATAAAAGCGAGTCGATCGTCACGTTTCTGTGACGCCAGGAATAAGAATTAGTCCCTTTTTTTCTCTCAGTAAATAGACGTCATCGACGGAGAAACTCCATATGAGACTAAAACAGTTTCTGGTTCTCCAAAAACTTGCGTAAAGGCGGCCATAAAGACAGTCGTACTGCGGGCGTCGACTTTCTCCCTGATAATGCGATTTACGTCAGCAAGCGGCACCGATGACCGGGAATCGCTCGAAGAGATAGTGGCTAATCGATTCGGGGTGACTTTGACTAAACTCCGATTAATTAACCGAGTAATACCTGTACTATTTTAGACATGTGGATAGAATTATCAGTTTTTGGATGTTTTTGTCACATGAAAACAAAAATTAGATTAAGATCGAGTTAGAAATCACACTGAGGAAAATGGTCTGGTTATATCGACAAGAAGTACAAAACGAGTTCCGATCATATGAATCAGAATTCTGATTATTGTAAGACGTAATTGAATTTCTGATTATCTTGACTGGAATATTTAATAGATTTAGCTATAAGTGTCTGATGTATCTTTCTGATAGAATCTACGAGAATTCCAGTTAATATGCAGTGAAACTCTTTTTCCAGTGCGTAGTTGGAAGTTTTAATGGCAATTTTGTTGAATTAACTGTCGATTGATCAATCGAGGCTCTTTTATTGTTAATCAAAGTCATTTTTACCTTTCCGGAGTTGAGGTTTGTAACATTATACTCACGTTGAGTTTGTGGAGCTCATTTAATTTATGTTGATTAAAAGACAGTAATTAATTTCAAGTAATCAAAGTATCAAAATTCGTATAAAAAAGTGTGTGTGTTTGTAAATATTGAGTTTAATTCAATAACAATTTAAATTTACAGATGTCACGTAAAGAATATAATTGAATAAGATAATTACACAGATTTACCGTCAACTCCGAAGATGAGTTAATAGCTGCATTCGATAGAAAAAGCAGTTTTGCAAGTATTATAAAATTCTTTAATATGATTGGTTTATAAACCACAGTTGCATAGCTGCTTTTTCTACTGTCACGATCAGACTAGAGATTGAGATTGGATTGAAATTTAACCAATCAGAAGAGAGAAAACACAATTTATAGTGAACTTTGCTTTGATTAGTTGATTTCCAATTCAATTTTAATCTCAATCTCTGGTCTGATCGCAACAATTAATAATGATCATTGGAAGATCTCGACGGACCGCAACGGGCGATCGTAGGCACGCATTCGTATACGATAGTATTCGTGCGATAGATCTAACAAACGAATTCGGAGGCCGCTCGAACAGGAACGGCGATTCTCTTGAAAAAATGTGGGACGGCGACCCCGAAATCATTCCGTTTCACGTTTCACCGTGACGCGTCTTCGCGCACCGCGACGGATCCGGAGAACCGAAGCAGGCTCCCTCGTTAGGATCTATGATCCTGATTCGCGTCACAGACCGCATCCGGAAGTGAATCAGCCGTGCGCGATTCCTCCGGATTCCGAAAAGCCTCGGTTTCGACGAAGACGTTCTTCGTCGGAAAGATGAAAACGAGCTTACGTCAAGTACGAAAAATGTTGAAGTCGTCGCGGTATTGTTAGCGAAGCGTCCCGTTCTTCATGCCATTTGTGAGTCACCCGTTGTAAGCACAATGTACACAAAAACGCGAGTAGCGAACAGGATGAAGTCGTGGGAAAGTGACTGGAATCGAGGATCCTTTTCTCATTCTTAGAACTATAGGAAAAGAGATAAAAAAAATTAATTATTAAAATTAAATCGAAAGGTGGGTATCCACCAACTGCGCAAAACATTTGCGAATGTTTGCAAGCATTTTCAATCTGAATAAATTCGGCGAAGCCTTCAAACACAATTAAAAGAGAAAACACTACATATAAAATATCTACAAATACTCGCAAACATTTGCAAATGTTTGTAAGAAAACGCTTGTTTGGTGGATATTCACCTGAAGAATATAAGAACAAACTCTTATCTTTATTCTTAGAAATAAGAATAAGGATAAAAAATAAATTAAAACTTTTTTTAATAGCAATTTATTGGTGACACATTAGTGTCATCAATAATTTGGAGATTTAAATGTTGGATATATTAATTCAATGGACCAAAATATCAATGTCAATAAAAGTTGTGCTACCAGAATTGACAGAAATGAGAGGATATTCCCGCGTTCATTGTGCGGACATAAAAAGAAGATAAAA